ACAATGATATGAAACAAATACATATAGGCCCAGAGACAGATCTACTCGTATGTTGCATAAGCATAGACAAACATTTAACACAATACACATCACTACTTAATTTCAGAGAATAAGATAATATTAGAATCTACTAGTAATATCTGAATTTGTTTTTAAGAGTATATCATAACTATTTAAAAATAATGAAGGAAAAACGAGGAACAGGCTATGTCAAGGACAGCTTGTATATTATACAAGCACAGACCTGGGGAACAGGGCGTCTAAAAACTTAAGGTAGCAGGTGGGAGGTAGAGCCCTAGACACAAGAAAAGAAACTTCTTCCACTGAAGTTTCACTTGATCTGGTCTTGCTGCATTTATAATGTACAACTGCACAACGTAGTTAAAATATTCCCTTACAATGAGAAGATACAACCTTTATAATAAATAAAAAATCAAGTCTACTACCATGTATTAGCTGATTGGCAAATAACACTGCCAAAAGTAAAAATAAAAATAATGGATAATAATAGTAATAATAATGCGGTTTTTTCTTCACTCAAACTAGCTTCCAATCATTGGAAAATATTCTGTTTGTCTTTGGTGTTGGTAACAAAATACTAATATTGACTGAATAATTATCTTTAACATTTAATGTTTTTATTCTTTTCCTAAGGGAAAATGCCTGTGGACTTTGAAAGTCAAGAACTTCAGATAAATATCTATTTTTTAAATCTCAGTTTTAATCATATCTTTTCACTGGTTTTTTGACTGCTGGCATTTATATTTGCTTTTAGCCTGGAATAACTGCATCTTGTTTAAAATCCTCTGAATTTCTAAATTGAAATATTGGATTACTGCTCACAATGAAGGTTTGGAATTTTCTTCAAGATGCACATTTTTCTTTCTTTAACCTTTAAAGAAACGAGTTGAAGCACGTCATGGTATGTATTTCTACAGCAACCACTCTGCTTCTGCAATTTCAGACACTTTATACTGTCTTTCAAGAATAAATATCATTTAAGAAAGAGTGGCGGGGGTAGCACATCTCTCCAGCCTCAAACTATTCCTTCCTCAGGGCAGAATTTCCCCGTCACGCTCTCTTGTCATCCTCACCTTCTTCTTGTCTGAACTCATCAACATTTCAGCCAAATTACTGTGCTGCTAAGTCACTGGGAAGATCAGGACCCCACACCAAGATGATCACCTTAGAAATGCACAAAACCGTAGAATGGGTAAAGAGAGATCAAATATTTCAGATAGAAAAGTGGGATGTTTTCGTAGATAGGTAGCCTAAATGTCTACTCCGATCAGGAAAACTATCTTAAGCAGAAGTTATAATTTGCCTTAATAATGAACCAAAAAGTGAACGCCAAAGTATCTGCCTTTAGTCAATTTAAATGTAGCAAATGAAATATGACTTAAAACAGGGTCAATCTTGAATACAAAATATCAACTTTCTGAACACATACAAATGTTTCCATAAATATATAAAATGTATTTGTATTTCATAGACAACTAAGGTACAATTTAAACTACATTTGTTTTTGCAAACACCTAAATTTCATTATCTGCCATTCATTAAGAAAAGGAGTTGAAAGAAAAAAAAATTTTAAACACTAATGTATAATTGCAATTTTGTTTTAAGCAACTGTGGAAATGGCATTTTTTTTTGCATATTTGTATAACACAATAAATGTGTAGCCCACAGCCAAGGGGATTGCATAAATTTTCCCCTGGCATAGCTACTATTTCCAATCACGCCCAAGAGGATATTTTATCTGCTTTGTGTATATATATACATATATAATATATATATAATATATGCACACATACATCTTCAATATTTGTTAACATTAACATTTATTTTGTTTCCTGTTATGCGTGTGTATATGTGCTTTTATTTAATAATGTTAGTTAACATTTCCTTTTTCTGTAAATAATGATAGTATAATTTGAAAAGTCTGGCTCAATTCCCAGACTTAGGTCAGGCTAATATACTAATATATTTAGACCAGTTTACTGTTTTATTGGACTTTGATGTTGAGCTATATTTTTTGAAAGAGTATTTTTATGTTGCACGTTCCAAAAAAGATCCTAAAAAAGACAAAGCCTTGTTTTCTTTTTATCTTTAACTGTAATAAGCAGTTGGATCTAATTTTGAAACTCCCACAATTTGCAGCATATATATTTTGGATTATGTGGGAGGCTAAAATTATATTGGACATGAGGAATTGTTCCTATCTTATTTTCTGGCATAAAATCTTGTTTTTCTTTATTGTTTTTGTATGTCTCAGAACTTCAGAAAAAGGAAGAGCATGCATCCACAATTAAATAAAAAGTAATTATAAATTTATAATATCACAAGTGAACCCAACCTACTTCTCCTAATATTTTTGGTTTGGATATATTGCTAAATAGCATCATCGTTCTCTTAGACATGAGGTTGAAAATTTCTGGGTTACTGTTGACTTCTGTCTTATTCCTACTTTTTTAAGTCCTTTTGTTATTTTTATTCTTTCTCTTATCACAGATTCTACTCATTTTTGTTCCTCTGTAACTATTACCTAAATACATTTGAGTTTCCTAATTGTCTTTTACAATTTACTTTCTTTCCTCTCCAATCTGTCATTAATTTTGAAGCCAAAACAATCTTGATCATAGTATTTACTTCATTTTATTGATTTCTCATTGTCTAGTGTGTTGAGTTTGAGGAAGAATGTCGGTGTCCTATCTGTTACAGCTATATCTTAAAATTACTTCAGTGATTTTTAAATACAACAATCTCTGGACCATAACCTCGAGACTCTGATTCATTATGCAAGAGTAGACATGGGTCTTTGAATTTCTAACAAATGTCATTGTGTTTTAATTGTGCTAATGAAACCCTGCACTGGCAACCTAATAAAGTAGCCTACAAATAACTGGTAATCAATAAAATATTTGTGGAACAAATGAATTATTGATTCTTTGTATGAATAGCTCATTCTCAAGTAAACACCTGAACATCAACCTCTCCCACCCCACACCCCTTTTGAATTGTTCTTCATAAAACTTACTCCTGTGTGAAAGCATCTTCTGTGTGTGAATGTTTACTGTCTGCATCACCACATGGAATGTGAGATCCCTGAGGGCGGAGACTTGTTTGTTTTGCTCACCAGTGTCTCAGTGCCTGCAATAGCACCTGGTAAATCATAGCGTCTTCTGAAATACTTTCTGAATGGATATAGGAGTGCTAGGAAAAGCCTGAACATGGTAGATAAATGAGAAATCACCACCAGAACACCAAGTTCCTGGCATACAGTTACAAGGTCCAGCAACATAGTTTCTAAGAACTAGCTGTTCTCTAGATCAACTATACAGATTAGCAAGTCTTTTAACTAAGTGTTGAGCAGAGTACTGCTCTGAGATTTAGCACCTCAGTTTTTCAGGGCCCTGAAGACCGTGGATTGCTTCTAGAGATGGACTGTCAAATAGGAAGACTTTCTGCAGTTACAGAAATGGTCTATGTCTGTGATGTCCAACATGGTAGCCAAGTGTGTGTGGTTATTGAGTACTTGGAATATGGCTAGTGGCACTGAGGAACTAAAGTTTTAATTTCAATTAATTTAAATAGCCTTAGGTTGCTAGGGTTTACCGTATTGGACAGTGTAGTTCTACAGTTATTCTTGTCTCCTCATATTCAAAATTATCTTATGATGCTATCATAACCTAAAGATTAGCCAGGGACCCTATCATGGCTATGGCGGTCATGTCCTGTGAAAAATTCCATTAATGGCATCCACGTTTTGTGATGTGTAGAGCAAAATCTCAGTCTCCCTGACTAAGGCCCGTTCCATGTGGATACCTGGCTTTCTCCCTCGTCTACCTCCCTCAGTGGAGAGTCCGCCTGCTGACAGTGCTCTCCTTAGGGGCCTGTCTCTGGCTGTCCTGGGCCATCTGCACAGAGTTGTGCATGATCTCCACTGTGGGAAGTCTCTAGAGATGAGCTGAGCTTACCCCACACCAACTGAAGGAGTCTATCTTAGTCCTGAAGATCCCAAGTCATCCTCATATCCCCATGAATGTGAATGGAAGCTGGGCCTGCTCAGAGAATCATCAGGGCTCTTCATTGTGGTCTGGAGCCGACTGCCAAGGAATGCCTAGGAATGCCTGGGAACACACTCAGTAAGAGTGCTGCCCTCAGGCCAGACCAGACTTGAACCCTGCAGAGAAATCCCATATATATGTCTGCAGTTGCTCATTTGGATGCTGTAAACTTAACGTTGTGAAAAATATAAAGACTTATGTTATCCGGTCTCTCTTGGGAAAATATGTAGGTTTAATCACTCCTGAATTTTCCTTAGTTCACACAGATTTATATCCTAAAAATTGGCATTGGGTAGGTGTGTCAAGTTATCATTTTAAAAACATAGAAGCTTGAACAAGACATACCACTCTGGTCTAGAATGTCTATATGCAGAGTATCCACAAAAGAACCCACCTTCAAAATTCCTTCATGTCTATATGCCTTCAACATTCTTTGTCTTCAACGTTCTTTCATGTCTAGAATATCTATATGCAGAGTGTCCACAAAAGACCCAAACTTCTTTCATTTAAAGAACCAAACTTCTTTAAATAAAAATGACTAGCAATAATGTAATATTTTACCATTTGCGAAGAGTTTAACGATAACAATATTCATCTTGAGTTAATTTCTCATGAATAACATTCTCATTTCTTAAAATTTGCTGAATGGAAAGCCAGAAAGTAGAGTGAAGCAAGTAATGTGTGTGTGAGTAGTCACTGGATACATGCGTAACAGTGAGCAGGTTTATCAGCTCCTGCATGGTGCAGTGTTCTGATTATCTTTTGCTGCATAAGGACTACTCCCCAAATTAGTGGCTTCAAGTAAAAACTTACTATTGTACATGATGATTCTGTTGAGCCGGGATTTGGAAAGGGCACGCAGGAGGTCTCATCTCTTCTCATCTCTGCTTCACAATGCCTATAATTTAGCTGGGAGGACCCAAAAGGCTGGAAAAGCTGATGGGTGCTGTGTCTCTCCAGTCTTTTCAGGTAGGCAGCTTGGGGTTTCTTACAGCATGGTGGCCTCAGTGCAATCTGACATTTGTATGGCAGCGCAGAGCACCCACGGTGAATGCTCCTGGAGACAGGAAGTGGAACATGTCAGAGTTGGAAGCCTGAGCCCGGTATATGGTTCAGCCTTACTTCTGCCATATTCTGTCAGTCAAAGGAGAACCTAGCCAAGGATCCCTCACGTTAATGAGGAGGAGACCTAGGCCCTCACCTCTCCCTGGGAGAAGGATCAAAGAGTTTGAATCTTGAATTCCCAGCAGGCAGACAGTTTTCCATTGTTATAAACCACCTGCCCTCACTCCATCTGCCTGTGCTAATTGTTTGCTCACAGGAATTTGTTTTGCACTGTGTAGAATTGGGATAACTTTGTGCTTATTTTGCAGTTAAAAGGGAGAGGCGCTAGGTTGGAAATTTTTAAAAAGCAAAGGTTTGAGAGCCAGTAAGACCTGGAGTGAACTCTCCTGTCAGTTATTTGCCAACTGTATGACAGCCATTTCTAAAAAGAAATGCAAACCTCAATATCCTCATCTATAAAAATAAAAAAAGAAGACTTATCTGGCTGAAGTACTGAGATTAAAAATATGACAAGTGCTAAACCCCACACATATTATGTGCTCCATTGATGTTGCTTATCCTTTCTCCCTTTTGCAGGATATAAAGGAATCTGAACACGACTGATATTTTCTTTAATTTTTAGATCCAGATATACATTGGGTAAAACTTCATAGGTTTTCAAAGGAACAGTCTTCTGAGCAAATCTGAAAACTCTCTAAACTCCATTGCTATGTTACTCTTTATCTTTCTATGAATTTAAATTCCTCTAGAAGTTAGATAAAACTGTAGTAAAGCTACATAATACTTTTGACATATTTTCAAGAGTAGACAAATTTCAATTAATTCGTAAGATACAGGAATACCATTTTTCCAATTCAAATGCACCTCGTGGTTTCTGGAGTGTTAATAACCATTTACACTTACAGTTCAAACAATGCAACCTTGTAAAACATACAGAACTTACGAAGAGATACGTAACTCTTTTTATGAAGCAAATAAGTAAATTATTTTCCTCAATCCCATGATTTACTTTTGTGTAGTGGGAATTTAAGGTAGTAGTTTTGCTTTCAAGTACCAACTTTTCAATACCTGTAGGTGCAAACCCAAGGTAGGTCTCACAGAGCTCCTCACTTAATAATCTGTTAATGTTTAATTCTTTATTTTTATTTATTTATTTATTTACTTATTTATTTATTTTGGAGACAGGGTCTCAGTCTGTTGCCCAGGCTGGAGTGCAGTAGCGCCTCAGCCTCCCAAAGTGCTAGGATTACAGGCGTCAGCCACCACACCCAGCCCGTTAATATTTAATCTCCTAGAAGGTGATCTTTTTTTTTCTTTTTTAAAAAGAGACAAATTGCAGCTCCTTCTCTGAGCTTTTCTAAACTATAGCAGACAACTTAAAATCTGACATGCCAAGATACAACCTTGTCTTAGTTTTCTGTCACTGCTATAACAAATTAACACAAATTTTGTGGTGAAGAAACCCACACATTCATTGTTTCATAGTTCTCATCAGGCCGACAGATGTCTCACCTGGCCAACAGCAAGGAATGGGCAGGGCTGCACGCGTTCTGGAGGCTCCAGGGCAGGCTCCATTCTCTTGCCTGTCCCAGCTTTCGGAGGCCGCCTGCATGCCTTGGTTCGTGGCCTGTCCTCTGTCTTTAGAGCCAGCAATGTTGCTTCTCTGACCACTCTTCTTCCAGCATGCCCCTCTCTCAGCACAGTGGGGAGTCCTTCACTGATTATAAAGATGCCTGTGATTACACTGGACACACCAGGATAACCAAGGTCACTCTCCACCTCCAGGTCCTTAACGTTAGTCACATCTACGAAGTCCTTTTGTTACATAAGATCATATATCCACAGGTTTTCAGGATTAAGAACTGGACATCTTTGGGGGGTGGAGCAAAGAAATTTCTGCCTACCACAGCCCTTGACAGCATAATTAAAATGTTGATTTTCATAAGATTTTCCTTAACTGAATTTCATTTTGCCTCAAAGGTGCAGATGGTCAGTCTTTGAGTGCCAAGTTTAGATGCTCATCTTATTTTTAATTTCTGACCAAGATTGATGATTACTTGAATATGTTGGCTACCCAAGTAATTTTATTTACTTTTACTAAAGAGGATAATTGTATTTCAATTAACAGATTCTCTTTAACAATAAAAAATTACAAATGTTAGCTGAGAGTGACAGATATGAAATAAATTTTAAAAGTCTAATCAATGCCTGGTGGAATAATTTGTGAAGCAAAATAATTAGAAACAATTTTCATTGAAAGGCATGCAGTATGTTAATTTCTTCCACTTAGCCTTGAACAAAGCTAAGGATGTTGGAATGAAAACAAGCTTATTGTCTTCTAATGATGACCATGCCTTGGAACACTCTTCCCTTCAGAGATTTGTCCCTGGTTTGTGGAATCACAATAAAATATTATGAAAATAATTGTGGGTAAACAGGGAGAAGCCAGACATGAAAAGAAGTGAGATCTTGTCCATATATCTATTTGCATGCAACTCTTGTTAGTTGTAAATAGACATGAACAAGAAATGGGGGAATAGCAGAATAATTTTTCCAAGTGCATTTTTTTAATCAAATCAATCCTTACTTTAAAAATTAATGTAAAATTAAGAAGGCAGCAGACATCAGTATGTTTCAGCATATATACAAGCAGAGGTAGGCAAGGCATCTACATTTTCTGCAAGTAGGAGAGCTATCATCTCATTAGATAGTTAAGCACTATACCATAAGATTCAATAATATTAGTGCTAGGCAGAACACTAAATTCAAAGTAGCTGGAGGACAGAAATTTCCTTCCTCTTATCATCATCCACGCTTTCTTAACTGCTTAGGTGTGTACTGTTAGTTCCTGGCTGCATTTTCTCCTCTTCAACTTACAAATTTTTCCTGTATTAAAACTAATTCTGCTCTGTCATATTTTATTTGGTCCTTATTTTCTAATAGTGACAATGAGTGTAAAAGAAATTCACATTATCCAATCCTATTTTATTTCTTTCAAGTAGTCACCAAATCCACAAAAATGTAAGGCCCAAAAATAATGTACCAATGGTGAAAATTTTAAACATTTCTGACACATAGATGAGGGGGATGTATATTTATGAAGTAATGAGCTTATTATAGGGGACCGAGTTTGATACTTTCTCTGCCTTCACATCGTTGTGAGAGTTTACAGATTTTACAAACTCAAGGTTATAAATTACTTTCCAATTATGGGTTCCCTACTCTGAAATAATTAAAGTAGATTCAAATGGTCTTTTTGGTAGCATTCCTTCTTTCTGTCATAGCACTAATAAAAGCCCTAAATTTGTCAAGAAAAAGAAAACGGAGTATCAAGTTGAATTTTTTGATGCGCAGGGGAACCGACTGAAGAATATTTTTCTAGCAATTGTCTAATTTACTTTCATCATACTTCTAAACATTCCAAAGCAATATTTAATCTTCTGACAGTTGTGTTTTCTCAGTCTCTATTGAATGCAAAGAGAATCACTCCATGTCTTTTTTTATTCCATATTGAGGGTTATTTTTAGTTTTTTATTTCTTGGATGATTTCTTCTTGGCTTTTACAATAAATTCCAGCTACTGGATTTTCACTTGGTTAATCTTCCTAAATTTGATTTACTTTTTTTGTCCCCAGGTTGGACATGTTTCTTAACTGGATTAATCATCTTGCTCATTGGAATTTTTTTTTTTTTTCAAGAAGAGACTAGAGTAATAGTCTTGTTATATCTCTAATCAGAATAAACTATCAAGATTAAAATAATTGCTTAAGGATAAACAAACAGAATTTCTAATATATAGCAGGTATCTTTGTTATAGGTTAAGCAGTCTGTCCTCACTGAAAATGCTATTATTTTCCAGTTTTGGGGAAACTGGAATTTCTCTGTGTAGCCATGCTGGCAACTTGTCTTGGTTTCTTTTATTTATTTTTTTTACCCCCATGACTAATAATTTTGAAGTGCCTTTGACACCATGCCTTTTTTATCATTCTCATTTTTAAGTCAACTAACAAAATACCAAACAACACATTCATTAATATTATCTACTATTTATTACATACTTATAAATTATAGAAGTTGGACTGGTAAAAGTAAAATTATTTTAGAAATCCTACATATATAAAATAAAACAGCTCACCTATGTACCCTCAACCAAAATATTCTATTTTTATTCATTTATTTATTTTAAATTATTTTGAGACAGAGTCTTGCTCTGTTGCCCAGGCTGGAGTGCAGTGGTGCCATCTGGGTTCACCGCAACCTCTGTCTCCTGGGTTCAAGAGATTCTCCTGCCTCAGCCTCCCAAGCAGCTGAGATTACAGGCCCGCACCACCACACCTAGCTATTTTTTTTTTCTTTCTTTTCTTTTTTCAACACAGAGTCTCGCTCTGCCGCCCAGGCTGGAGTGCAGTGGCGCGATCTCGGCTCACTGCAAGCTCCGCCTCCCGGGTTCCCGCCATTCTCCTGCCTCAGCCTCCCGAGTAGCTGGGACTACAGGCGCCGCCACCACGCCCGGGTAATTTTTGTATTTTTAGTAGAGACGGGGTTTCACCGTGTTAGCCAGGATGGTCTCGATCTCCTGACCACATGATCCGCCCACCTCAGCCTCCCAAAGTGCTGGGATTAGCTGTGAGCCACCGCACTTGGCCATTCAATTTTTAAAATACTGTTTGAAAATTGAGTTGAAGCTGTTATACAGACAATAAGACTGTGTGGCCAATGCACTTTATATTGATCGAGGTGAAGGATATAGGACTGGAATAAATGGTATAAAATTTGGACTAAGAACCAGTTACAGGACAAATAACATATTAGCACAGATTTGATATGAGATTTACCTAGATGATACCAAGAGGGCTTCTAGGAAATTTTCATCCTTTCATACAAAAATTAAATTGATGGGTTCAGAATTTCAAATAAGTTTTCGCTACTTACTTGAAAATAAGAAAGGGAGCGCTATTTATCTAGAAAGTTGGTTGTATTACATGATAAGGCATTTAAAAACATTTCATGGTAGCTTATACAGATATATCATGAACATAAATCAAAGATTTTACTTGATTAATAAGAGAAACAATAAGATGTTATAACTGATTCAAAGGCAAATTTAAAGTCATATATAGGTAGAACTGGTCGATTCACAGAACAATAGCATTCTCACTGGACACAATTACTTTGCATTTTACTGAAAGAAAGTCAATTGCATTTATGCCATAATTTTAAAATTTTACAAAGTTGTAAAATAGCTCAAAGATGATGAAAGGCAGAGAAATCTTGGAAGCCTCTGCTAGTCACGTGATTTAGTAATATTTACAGCTCATTTCAGTCTTTCACAACTTTCTCCTGCATTCACTATCACACTCCATTCTCTTTCCACACCAAAATAAGAGGAATCATTTAACCCTATCTAAGATCTCATAAAATACTAATATAACTTAAGATCCCCTCGAAAAACTACCTTGTGGTCAGCACAGTAGGAAAGGCCCCTTGATGGGGAAGAGGAAACTTCCCAACACTCGCACAGGAAAGGGAGGAACGGACCATTTCATCGTGAGGTTTGGAGCTTTGGAAAGGCTATGCACGTGTTATGTAAGTATGGTATAGGCAATCCATTTCATGAGGAATCAAGAATGAGGCATCACGATTTTTTCTTGCCATCTTAATATTTTTGTGTTACTGTAATTAAATAACTCAACATATAGTCCGATCCAGAGAGAGAAGCCACCCTTCCTTTGGGCTTAATCTCAAAACACAGACGTATATATTTCAATTAACAGATGACATTTGAATCTCTGAGGGAATTTTGTTTTAACCAAAAACCTCTGAAAAATTAAGTAAAATGGACAATTCCTACAATCGCTCCACAATCACTAAACCAACATGTGTGTTAAAAGATGTGATAGAGTTAATGTGTATTATACATCCACTTAAATACTGTTGCAGCAAAGGAGACAGAGAGAAGGAAGAGAGAAGGTAACAAGGAAAGAAGGATGGAAGAGAGGGCATGAGGACAGTTATTTGGAAATGGCACAGAGGCATTTACAAAGATCATTATATCCTTGGGTCCTTTACCTTCCTCAGCCCTACGCAGAGTATATAACTTCTTCGTTTTAAACTTTTAACCAGGAGAAAGCTAAATGCTAATCTTGGAACTTAAGAAAGCAACTTCTCTGGGCTTTTTAATATTAGATTATATTTCATGTTGAACTTTTCTCTAGCTCAGAAATCATTTGTCTATTACACAGCAACCATTTTAAAACTTTCTGTTTTTGAAAAAGTATCCACTGGCTTCTTCATATTTTCTCATGCAGTAGTTTTTCTTGAATGTTGTTTTATATAAAAATTACTAGGAAAGTTTGTTGAATTTTCAGATTTCCAGGCCTCCCATCATCAGTAAATCTGGATCACCCTCAGAATACCCATCTTTGTCAAGCATCTTTGGTGATAATGCTGTGTGCCTCTTTAGAACTACGAGACTATTAAGAAGGAAATATGTGAAAAATAAGCCTGCCCATATACAACAATAACATGGGAAAGGAACAATGTAAATTTCACACTGCCTACGTGTGTGTGTGTGTGTGTGTGTGTGTGTGTGTAGGTGTTTTAAATATAAAACACTTAAAACCATTTCCTGGATTATTTTCAACTGTTAGACCTAGTAGTGAAGCTGTACCAAGCTACAATATCTGATGCTATCTATCTGTCTTTTGCCTCTTATGATAATTATTTAATTATCTATTCACTTGGGTAACGGGACTTTTTCCCCTAAATAATGCTGCTATTTTCTTTCTGTTAGGCTTTACGAGTGTAAGCAAAATTGCATTTTTTAAACTTTTTTAGAATAGTATAAACATTAAGTTAAAATCAATAGAAAAATGTTATTTTTTAAATTGTTCTGAAAATAACTTTTAACCAGATAATTTAGTGTCGACTTTCATGTTTTATCTGACGCTATTTAAATTTGTCATTTACCATATTCTTAAAGTCCTTTAGTTTGCCATGCAAAAAAAGTATAGCCAGGCAGCTAGAAAATGGAAAAGTCACTCACTGAAATTATATTTATAGGCATAGCAACAGAACTCTTACAGAGTAATTCCACAGTGATTTTTAGTCATACTGATGAGCTATAATCTGTCTATAAAGTAGTAGAGGCTATAGTTTATTGGTGTGAAGCAAAGTTAAATTTAGATGTGGTCTGTAAGAAGTTATTTCTATTCATTTTCAATCTAGAGTTCCAATCAAAGCTGCCTAATCTTTGTACTACAGGAAAGCTACTTAAATAAGTTCTACCATCTCTAAAAGGAAGTGAAATTATTCAACTTCCCTATCAAACTTTCCTTTGGAACAAGGAATTAGGCAAGAATACATTGTAGGTACGATTGCGTGAAGTTTCATGCTAGACGCTTACCTGGCCAGAGAGTTAGACTGTACAACTCTGTAACAGATGGTCTAATTTAAACTATGTATATATTTTATTTTTCCATGTTGAGTATTTCTATGACATCCTATTTATCAGGTTATAAAATTTTCCATGACAACTTTTATTATTATAAATAATGAAATTATTTATTTATACTGAATGAATCTTTGATACATTGAGAATAATGCCAATGGGCCCTATGATGTTTCCCAAGTCCTTCAATAAATATCTAAACCATATAATTGCAGGCATCACATAGGAAGACAGAAATTGTTTCGATTTGCTAAACATCTTTCAAAAGATTTTATTGAAAACACTGCTTATTACTAGAAAGTATGTCTCCGTGTGTGTGTGTGTGTGTGTGTGCGCGCGCGTGTGTGTATTTTAAGAACATGGTCATTTTTAATACATAGATGTCATCTCACTAACGGCAGTATTCTGCTTCTTCAAGATTATCTCAAGGCAAAGGGCAATAGATTAATCAATAAATGACAATGCTCTATCAACTTGAATTTTAAAATAAAATCAGATATTGCTACAAATTCATAATCAATTATTTCACAGCGAAATTAATCAGTTTAAGGGTTTGGGGGTTGACTGACTAAAGCCAGCAATCATGTGTATCTAAAACAAAATCTGACATGCATAACTTTACAATTATATGAAACAAATCAGCTGCAAGAAAATACTCCAGGATGGAAAAAGTTAAAATTGCAATTACTCTTTTCAAGTTGGAATTGAGAATTGGGGAAGAGAGGAAGTTGGAGAAAAGCCAGAGTCAAAATTTTGGTGAGAAATAAAGAATAGTTGAAGGAGTGTTTTCACAAGTGTCCTTAAGGCTTTGAAAATGTCATTCCTCTTCTGGAAATCTCATGACTTTTAAAAAGTAAAAGACAAACTTTATGATCACTCTGAAATTAAGCAGAAGATTGTATTTCCCTCTTTGAACACTCAGCTCATTTTTTTCTAGACATTCCAAGGTGATTCTAAATGGCACTTTGCACTGTCATTTTAAAAGAATTTCTCAGATATTTGCTGGGCACTTTATGGAAGGAGACACTGAGGTAACGATGTTAAGCTGCATACTCATAGAGAGATAAGAAAGCAGAAGTTAAGTCAGCCTTAGAAACCAGATCTCCAGACTCCTGGGCCTTCATTCTTAAGCCACACTCTCATTTAATATATCCACTGTGGCTTTTACCGTGACAAAAAACGTAATTGGATCCATGAATGCAGAGCTGTGGAGGGCACTATTAGCATTACACATTATCTTTCATCTTGGAATCTCACAAAGCTTTATTAAACTGTTCAAAAAGGAAGTGTTATTGTTCCCAGGTACCTCTCTCTCCCCAAAAGATAGCTCAAGTGGATTTATCAGGTGGCTAAATGCACGTACTAAAGAGGTTAAATTTAATTCAGGAGAGGATCTTTCCCTTAGGAACACAGAAGCTATTGTAGTGTTGGTGCTAAAAAGGTTCTCTTGTCAGAGGAGTTACGTCTTATGAGATCCTCTAAGCACATTTACGAAAGGAGAGGAACTTGACCACAGAAACTGTGTTTGATACATTTGAGCAGCAAAGTAAATTTTCATTCCATGGCATGCTGTAATGGGGGAAGGTAAAAATATCTCAGATTGATCAACTCCACTAAATTATATTAATCAAAGGCTGTATTTATGAAGGTAAATTAAAGAAAAAATTAGAAATAATCTGAGTTATTTAGGGTGAAGAATATTACATTATGAATCTTTAAGGCAAATTGAAATCCAATCATTTCTTATTTAAAAAGTTTAATATATAAATACTCTCAGTTATATTTAAGACAGAAAGTAAGATGTCGGTAGTGTCTTTATTGGAATATCTATTTACAGAACTTAGGAGGAAAAATGTGTGTGTAATGGCTTCAATTATTCACTTTTATTTTGTGTGTTTTGCATAAAGAAAAACGAAGAACTGCACACTAAATTTTTATGAATGCACACACACACACACACACACACACACATATATACCCACCTTTTTAAATGGGTGATGATGATAGGGGAGAGGACTATTAAAATAACTCTAAATAATATTTATTGTAGTGTCTCATTCTCATACTAATTTATTAGAATTTTATGTCAATAATTCTTCACATTAATATATATTTTTTCAGGCTCTTTCAGAGACATTTTTACTCACGATTTGGAAAAACCAACAAGAGAAGAAAAAAGAAATTCTTATCTGAAACTTGAACTTATCAAAACTCACTTGTCTAGAAATTAGCCTGGGAATATCCAGGCACTGGAATTTCTCACTTTTTTTCCTTCTCCCTCTCAACTTCAGTACTGAGATGAGAAAGTCATTTCCAAATGTCTATGTTTTGAATTTTTAAATAGACCAAATTTAGAGTCATATAAAGATATAATAATTAGCTTTCTTAATAATTTTCACCCAGAGGTACTCTTACAGAGAATAAAAACAGCAGCAGCAGCAAAGCCTTTTCCTCATTCACTTGTACTAAAAACGAGAGTCTGTTAAAAAAAAAAAATTACATATGAGGTACTACAAAATGGGAGGTCCACAGGCCTAATTCTCCCTCTGGGTGATTTATGATGTGGGTGTAAAACATGAAGTGGGTGTTTTAAAAAATAATAAAAAGAATCCTTCCTTTATCTCATTCTAAATCTGATGAATGGCTATAAATAGGGCATGAAATTTGGGGCCAGCCACAGTTCCAATTATTCCTAATTTCCTTATACCCAACGCATATGATTGAGTTAGAGTACCTGGTGAGTACTCCAGCTCAAAACGTTTGAGTCTCAGCATGATTCCAGTCCCTGCCTTAGTTTCTCCAGGCTCCCATTGATTGGTGTCAAGCACAGTTCCCTCACCCCCTATACAACCCCCGTATTCCCAACTCACCACCCGCCAGGGGCTCCTGTCAGCACCCAGGAGCATTTTCATAGCCCTCTACTGCTTACAGTTACCTCTGTAAACTGTTCTGAGGACTCCTCAGCAACATTCTGATGAAATTTGTTAGTAGCCACAGGCTAGTGGAAGAACATCATCACTCTTTTATTTTCTCCTGTCTGCCTCCTGTAGTTCTCCCTATAACCTGGTGGCTTACATCTTTCAATCAGGCTCATTTTGTATAAAGCAGGCCTTTATGTCAGAAGCTGAGACCTCCAACAGATGGAACTGAAAACCATCCTGCTACCAGACCTCGGATCCGGAAGGTCAGTCTTGGTGCTTGTTTTTCCCAGAGTCACTGAGGCTCTTCAAGGCTGTGACACCTTACCTTTAGTGCAGTCTATCAAATAGAATTTCTACTCTCCCTAAATTATATTTCCTCCAGTGCAGATTAATTAGTGATTTACTTCTGGGTTACATACCTAAAATATATTGGTTATAAAAATAATCCTATGCAAATGCCAGTCACATAAAAATGAACTGAATGTAAAAATTAGAAACTCACCAGGCACAGGGGCTCATGCTTGTAATCCCACACTTTGGAAGGCCAAAGTAGGAGGATTGCTTGAGCCCAGGAGTTCGAGACCAACCAGGGAAACCTAGACCCCCATCTCTACAAAGAATTTAAAAATTAGCCAGGCATGTTGGCGCACGCCTGTAGTCCCAGCTACTTGGAAAGCTGAGGAGGGAGGATCCTTTGAACACGGAAGGGATTCTTCAG